CTGGGGTGCCTGGCCAGCCTGGGTGAGGGGCTAAGGGCTGTTTTCAGGCTGGCCTCACCCCCTTCAGGGTGGGCGGTCCTGCTGGGGTGCGTGTGGCCAGACTGTGAGGGGCTGATGGCTGTTTGTAGGCTGGCCCAGCCCCCCAGTGGGGACCCTCACCCCATGAGGGTGTGGCCAGCCTGGGTGAAGGGCTAAGAGCTGTTTTCAGGTTGGCCACACCCCTTTCAGGGTCGGGGGTCCCCACTGGGGTGCCTGGCCAGCCTGGGTGAGGGGCAGGTGGCTGTTTGCAGGCTGGCCACAGCCCCTGGCAACCTAGGCTCCCAGATCCTCCTTGAGCGGAGGCCACAGTGGTTGGAAGCAGGTATCTGGGATTTATTTATCTTCTATAATTGAAACTTTGTAGCCTTGAGCGGAGCCCATAGCCAGCCAGGGCAGTCGGAAAGCTTGGTTTTCTTCATCGCCAGGGGCAACCCAAGCCTCCTGTTTGCTCCAGCTCCTTGGCCACCGCCGTCTTGGTTGGGTTTATTTGCATACTCGCTCCTGATTGGCTGGTGGGCATGGCTTGTGGGTGTAGCAGAGGTACGGTCAATTTGCATGTTTCTCTTTTATTAGATAAGATTGATTTCTGAGAGGGAGAGAGAGAGAGAAACATCCATGATGAAAGAGAATCATTGATCAGCTGCCTCCTGCACACCCCCTACTGGGGTTCGAGCCTGCAACCTAGCATGTGCCCTTGGCTGGAATCGAACCCGTGACCCTTCAGTCCATCGGCTGACGCTCTATCCACTGAGCCAAACCAGCTATGGCTATCCTTAAATCTTTATGTCTGCTTTTCTTTGTATCCTATTGTTAGGATGTCATAGTTCAAGAAAGGAAGGAAAAGGGGGAGGAAGGGAGGAGTTACGGGTTAAAGACTAGGAAATGCCAGTTTTGAACTGTTTCTTTCCTCCCACAAAGGCAGCAGCTTTGGCATCTCTAAAGAAGTATGGTGTGGGGACTTGCGGACCTAGAGGATTTTACGGCACATTTGGTATGTTTCAGTATTTTTCAGACTACATTCTGATGGAATAAGGTTCCATTTTATTTCAGAACTCCTTGGAAAAGGCATCCTTAGTTAGTTGTGGTGTTAAGCCTGTGCGTTCTATTTCTTACCTTATTTTCTAGAACATTGTTGTTTGGAACCATTGGTTAGAGTTGAATGTCACTTGTGGAGAAGAGCCATAGTTACCTTAGGTGTGTAGTTCTTAGGTCAAAGCCTGAGCTGCTGTTTCATGTGCCCCCCCCTCCCCCCCAAGGCAGCGGTGTTAGGAAACAGTTCATTTCTGTGGTGCATGACAATTGTAAGAGGAAGGGTCCTGTGTGGGTGGCTCTGCTCTTCATAATTGTGCAGGAATCGGGATCTTCCCTGTCTCTGCTCCAGTGTGGAGGGCACCATCCTTGTCTGCATGGCTGCAGCCAGGTGGCAAGTTTGGGGAGCAGGAGTGCAGGGCAGCAATACACTTTTAGGCAGGCAAGTGACCCCGCACATCACTCTGCCACATTGCATTGGTGAGACCATAACCCGGGTCATGCCTTCCTGCAAAGGGGGCAGGGAAATAAGCTCTAGCTGGAGAACCACCACGTGCCGGGGAGAAAGGCAAACCACCACGTGCCAGGGAGAAAGGCAAGAACAGATTGTGAGGCGATAGGCTATGTAGCTCCTTTCTTTCTGGAATGAAGATGAAGGATCATTGATTTCCCTGTGTGTGGGTGACCCTGGGACAGGCTAAGTAAATGTTAGGATGAGTGTGTGATTTCAAACACTATGAACTTCCCTAACAGATTTGTTAAAGACACCCTGGCATTTTCAGGTTGTGTTTATTACATGTATATTGTTCTTCTGAAAGCTTTGAAAGTGCTAAATAATTGTTCAAATGAGTATATTCCTGGAAGTAACATTCTGGCTTACAAAATGTCAGAGTGTGGGGAAAATCAAGCCTGGGAAGGCTCCTCCATCTTCTGTCCTCCTTTCCATTTTTCTGTGTGTGTGTGTGTTTCTTTAACAGTTATGATACTTTTATTTAAGAGAGCACTTTTCTTTATTCCTTAGCAAGTTTAGCGGTTAAATTATTTATATTGGAAACAGGTGACAGGAGTTAGTGTCCAAGAATCCTACAGCTGGAAAGCTTTTAAAAGTCATATACTCCAGGATTCCAACTATTCATAAGACAAATAGAAAGCCCAGAGAGGTTAAGTGACTTCCTCACAGTCACACAGGTCATTAACTTCTGCCCTAAAACTGGAAAACAAGTATGCTGACTCCTAGTCTTTTTTCCCCCTCATTTAATAATTCTTTCTTAAATAATTTTTTTAATTTTCCAATTATTGACATACACGCCTTCTGTCAGTTTCAGGTGTACAACATAGATTTGTATAACTTACAAAATGATCACCCCCATAAGTTTAGTACTTATCTGATTCCATGCATATCTATATATATAATAGGCCAGTGATGGCGAACCTATGACATGCATGTTAGAGGTGACACGTGAACTCATTTTTTTGGTTGATTTTTTTGTGTTAAATGGCATTTAAATATATAAAATAAATATCAAAAATATAAGTCTTTGTTTTACTATGGTTGCAAATATCAAAAAATTTCTATATGTGACACGGCACCAGAGTTAAGTTAGGGTTTTTCAAAATACTGACACGCCGAGCTCAAAAGGTTCGCCATCACTGTAATAGGCTAATATGCCATCTGACCGGTCGCTATGACATACACTGATCGCCAGGGGGCAGACGCTCAATGTAGGAGCTGCCGTAAGGTGCTCGGCCATTTACAAAGAAATGGCACTGCGGACCTGGAGCCCACAAAACAACACTTGGCTTTCCCCCAACTGGGACACAGGCCCCGCCACCAACCTGGAGCGACAGCCCACCAAATCGCAGCTGATGCTGCCGAGACCCCATGGTGCAAAATGCGGCCCACAGCCCAGTCCAGCCCGGAAACGGTGGCTGTGGGTGCCGGGTAATGACGTCACATAGCAACGGCCGGCTTCCTCCTCCCAGCAACAGGCCATCTGTATATATAAAAGGCTAATATGCTTAGTGTCCATCCAACCGGTAGCTATGATGTGCACTGACCACCAGGGGACAGACACTCAACGCAGGAGCTGCTGAGCTGCAGTGACTTGGCAGCGGCAGTTCTCGGGTTATGCACCCTGAAACCAGAGAAGAGGGAGCCCGATTCCTTGTGGGGCCGCGCGATTCCACCTTTGGCTGTGGGTTATGTTGTTGCTGGGGCACTGTCGGCCCTGAATCTGGTTTACTGCACACTTGCATTTGCATTTCACATACTGTACGACAGCAACTTTGCAGAGTGCCCCCTCCCACTCCGGGACCCCTCGGGGGATGTGGGAGAGCGGATTTTGGCCCGATCCCCGCAGGCCAGTCTGAGGGTCCCCACCTGCTGGAGGGACCCTGCTCACTCCACAGATGCCCTTCAAGCCATGGCGCCACCCCAGGTGTGGCCAGCTTGGGGGTACCACAGGACGTTGGCTCCAGGGCGTGTCCAGTCCGCTCGCCCAGTTCTGCTCTGCCGACCACTTTCTAATTTATTTCTTTTCGATGTGCACGGATCCGTGCACCGGGGCACTTTTTTAGTATAATATTATGGCTATATTCCTTATACTATATTTTATATCCTTTTGACTAATTTTATAACTGCCAATTTGTACTTCTTAATCCTTTCACCATTTTTACCCATCTCCTCAACCCCCCTGCCTTCTGGCAAGCATCAGTTTATTCTCTGTATCTATGAGTTTGTTTCTGTTTTGTTTGCTCTTTTATTTTGAAAACTAGAGGCCCAGTGCATGAATTCGTGCATGGGTGGGATCCATTGGCCTGGCCGGCAATCGGTGCCGATTGGGGCCATCTTGCCCAGTCCCGATCGGGGCCTATCTGGGCCAGATGGGGCTGAGGGGGACCACGAGAGGTTGGCCAGCCGCAGGAGGTTGGCTGTGGGAGCGCACTGACCACCAGGGGGCAACTCCTTCATTGAGCGTCTTCCACCTGGTGGTCAGTGTGCGTCATAGTGACTGGTCATTTGGTCGATCAGTTGGAACGGTTGCTTAGGCTTTTATATATATACTAGAGGCGCGGTGCACAAAAATTTGTGCACTCGGGGGGGTCCTTCAGCCCGGCTTGTGCCCTCTCGCAGCCCGGGAGCCCTCGGGGATGTCCACTTGCCAGCGGGGAGCAGGCCTAAGCTGCAGTCGGACATCCTTAGTGCTGCTGAGGAGGCGGGAGAGGCTCCCACCACCACTGCTGTACTGGCAGCCGTCAGCCTGGCTTGTGGCTGAGCAGAGCTCCCCCTGTGGGAGCACACTGACCACCAGGGGGCAGCTTCTGCATTGAGCATATGCCCCCTAGTGGTCAGTGTGTGTCGTAGTGACCAGTCATTCCCAGTCGTTCTGCTGGGATTACTGACTTGGCTACCTCCATCGCCCGGGCAACCACGCCTCCTGCTTGCTCCAGCTCCGTGGCTGCCCACCACCATCTTGGTTGGGTTAATTTGCATATAGTTGCTCT